AAATCGGGCTCTTAGGGCTAAGACGACTCCTGATGGTGCTCGCCTCTACTCATCAGGGGATTTGGTCGACTACCACCGACCTACTGCCACCAAGGACGACCATGGAGGCTGGAATGGCCCATTCCGGGTGATCCGAAATGTGCCTGAAACAGGACGTATTGTTGTCAAGGCAGGATCTCGTGAGGTAATTGTAATGTATCCTGATGCTCGTCACACACTATACATCGAATGTCTCCTCACACGGGAACTTGGCATGGATAATATGGCCATGCAAACCGTCCTTGCTTATGTGGCACACCTCAGCGCAGGGAAACCTGCCAAAGTTTTCGGGTATATCCCCGATTACAAGGGAAACCTTAATCTGTCAGACGACAGCAAGTTTCACCCGCGCGTACACTTAGCACTACAGTATCTCGTACGAAATTACTTCCGAGTAGAACATGTAGTAGCAGTTCGATTGGCTAAGAGTGTGTCAAGCCTACCTGCAGTAAAGTACGCCACCGGGTCTACGCTGATCCACTATGACAACGACATCAGCCCGGCGTTCCACTATTACGAATGTGTGGGCACTGGCTTAAACATTTCTCAGATCACTGGTAGCACTCACTCCAGACTTATTCAATGCTTGACTTCACGTGTCCCTTCCTTAGGATTTCACGACGATTTGGCTAAATATCAGCATCCAAGCAACACGTCTGGAGAACACGAGTCGCCTGGAAACAGGCCTTCTCCAGACACACCAGATGCTTCATCGCCGAGCGAAGGCCGTCTGTCGACAATCTATGAGGAAAATGAGGAACACAATATCGAAGCTATGATGCTGGAAGAGTGGTACGACGAGCTACGTATGGACCTTCATCCTACGACGATTACCGATGATTATCTTTATTGCGTCCCAACAACTATGCTGCCCGACCAATGTGTTTTGGTTTCAGCATTTGTGGACGAAGATGATATTACATCATCAGATATGCTCGGAGACGAGCCGAAATCATGTGAGTCCTGTCTAGTATCTCTTTGTTCAAACACAACCGACGAGAGCTACTCTCTAGACAGTGATGAATACGTTCCTTACGTTGAACTATGCTTTACATCAGAAATGTCAAAAATAGTGTTGGATCAGACTCAACTTGCACAGCTCGATACCGATATGGTCGCAACGATGAGAGTATATGTATCATCTGCTGCTAAACGTGCTGTGGTTGTCAAAGAAGATGATCTACTGACCAAAGCCGACATAGCAGCACATCCAACGGAGGTTAGTGAAGCCTTATATACTGTGCTCAAAATCTGGATTGATAACCGATGCTTTGAGATGTACGATTTATCCAAAGCTTCCAACATCATGACATCCAGATACGTATACAAGTGGAAGTTCGTAAAGGTGGGTACCGAGAGCGTTAAAACTATTCGTCTCAGACTGGTCCTTCGTGGATTTATGGATACTGAGGCTTTTGATGTGGAAACATTCTCGGGGACCGCCCGAAGGCAGTCCCAACGACTCCTGGCAAGTGAAGCGGCATGTCATCCAGAGTGGATCTTAGCATCCATGGATATTGATAAGGCGTTCCTCAAAGGTTTGACCTATGAGGAACTTGCCCATGCCACCGGCGAGGAAACTCGCATGGTTTGCTTTACTCTTCCACCAGGAAGCGCTCAGGTACTTCGTACCTTACCCGGCTTCTCATCCTACGACGAAAGTCGACGCTGTCTTAGATGCCTCAAACCAGGAACGGGTACTAAGGACGCTCCAAGAGCGTTCTCTCTCAAACTTCGTGCGACCACACGAGCTATAGGACTTGCACCGACCAGCTACGATCCTGAATTTGAATTCAGCCAAGACCTTCTGACGGCAAAACATGTCGATGATATTAACATGACAGGTCTAGAGAAAAATATAGACGACTATGTACAACGTGTCGAAAAGGTATTTGGCAAATGCAAGCTCAACAAGCACACATATACGAACTGCGCCGTTCGCTACACTAAGAATGATCAGGGAGATGTGATCATGGACCAGGACGAGTATATTAAACAACTACGTCCTATCACACACCCAGAACTTACAGGAGCGGCGGCCGACGCCAAAGCCACGAAACTCATTACCGACATGTTCGTCAGCCTGCGAGGAGCCCTCGCCTATGCCCTTCTTACCCAAATCTGGCTTATGGTATATGTGGTCTCTCTTCAGAAAATTCAAGAGCCCACCAATTTGCAAGTCAGACGTTTGAATGCTGTGACGCGAAAGCTGATCAGCAGTCCGAAACGCATCACCTTCCCTCGGATGAAGCCGACGAATGAAGTTGACATCCATAGCGATTCGGGGTATCGGAAGCTTACCGGGGAGGAGGATGACGAGACCAAGGGCTACGGCATACGCGGGGCCAACGTACTACGGCGAGGAAGCTCGCCCCAAGGCAAGTCCGTCGTTCACCTCTGTGACGGACTATGCAAATCACACCGATTACAGGTGAGGTCCAGTTATGCTGCGGAGGCACTTGCAGCCGCACATAACTTTGATGAGTGTTACCCTACGCTCATTACTCTCCACGAGCTTAAGGCAGGGGCTTTGACTCCACGACAACTACGAGACATGCGTGAAGTTGGAGGCCTTGCTATCAAAGTCTCTCTTACCATAGACGCCGAGTCCGTCTACAAATCTTTATCAAGCAGGGATCTCAAAATACCTACAGAACGGACTCTGCTTGGACATATCAGCTGGATACGTGAGCTCATGGATATAGGTATAGTACATAATGTGCAATGGTGTGATACTAGGGATATGACCGCAGATGGGCATACAAAGGGAAGCATCGATCGGGAGCTGCTTCTGGAAGTGATGTCAGGCACTCAGTCATTTAAGTATGACGTGAAGCAATTTGTTCCCTTTCGGGGTCCCGAGGACAGAGACAAACCTAAGTCTAATCAATTTTAGTCTGTCCTTGTTGCCCTCGCGGTCCAGTTTGCCAGCACGGGCGCCTATTATAAAGGCGCCCCTTTAGCTGCTCGGAAACGAGCCTTATATTTCACGCCTGGCAACGAGCCGGCTTCGTACAACTCAGGCTCTTTGCCTTAATACACATTTGCTTGGTGAGGTATGGCCTAATTTTGGCTTGCCTCTAACTGAGCCGATAGCCCTTCATTGTTTGAAGGGGCTGTCCTGTATTTGCGTGAAATACTTTGCGAGGAAACTCGCCTTACAGTCTGGTGTTTGACCAGACTGTACGCACTGTTTTCTTTTCTTTGCAAACAGTCGTGCGCGCGATCTTTGCGTGCGACTATGCTCTCCGTCTCCTCCCCTCCCGACTTTAAGGGTAGCTCTTTGGGAGATGTTACAGTATCGGGAGCATAGCTCGCGCGCCGTTGCCTTTGGCCCAAGGCACGCGCGCCCTATTTGCCCGGATACTTGATGGTATTCGCTATTTGCCCGGATACCTGATGGTATTCGCTATTTGCCCGGATACCTGATGGTATTCGCTATTTGCCCGGATACCTGATGGTATTCGCTATTTGCCCGGACACCGCGAGTGTTCGCTATGTGCTGGAAAGATCATTACATCGATCTTATCCTATCTTACCCATCCACCCCTCATACTGTACCTTCACAGCAGAGCGATGGATGCAATTTGCCAGGCTATATGCCATATTTGAGCTACCAGGCTCACTTTCGACTCGCTCGCCCTGCCCAGAGTAGGGCGCTTAGATCGTTGCGGGTTTCTGTTGGTTGTCGTTCTGGGGAGTTTTGCCAGCGGGGGCGTGGGGGCACCGCGTTTTCCACCCAGCGCCGTTTTTACGGGCACCTTCTTCACGGGTGTGCCGCTGGGGCTGCTACTGATCATTTTTCAACGCTGCCGCTTGATGCGGTAAACTAACACGCGGCACCGCATATGTTTCCATATGTTGAGTAGCCATTTATTTTAGTGGGTCTACTCCAGAGCTAGGGTGTCCCACCAACCAGTGTGTGTGAATAGAGCGCCTGTCCTGAACATTCTGCCACCTCGGCGCTCCTCGGCGCCAGCCGACCAGACTGCTGATCGGAGGGTGCGATCCCTCGGACTTCACGAGGCTCCGTCGTCGCTGCACTGGTCAGGGGGGACCTGCTGCCGTTCGGGAAAGCCCCACTCCACTCCCGAGGGTTCTGGTCAAGAATGTCCTCCTCCTCCTCCTCCTCCTCCTCCTCCTCCTCCTCCTCCTCCTCCTCCTCCCATTCTTCCTCCTCCTCCTCCTCCTCCTCCTCCTCCTCCTCCCGGGGGCTTAGCGGAACCAGGACCGCGCAAGAATGTCCTGGCCGACGGTGCCGTGCGCTGGCTAACACTCTGCCAGGCTCAGCCAGGGCCACGCGGGGATCCTGGGCAGCACCCGTGTTTCGAGATGATTTGGGAGTGTTCGATTCGCAGTTGCCTCTCCTAGGTCCCTCTGCTCGCTGCGCCTTGCTGCAGAGTTTCTTTAGACACAGTGCTTGTGATGAGTAACGCAACATCATGACGGTGCATTGCACGATAATGATTCTTCCTGGGTTCAGATGATTCGCTTCGAGTATTTCGTCACCGCCGTGTGCGTACGATCCGTAATATTTAGGCTCAGAGTTGCTCCTACCCCCGTCCCCAACAACTACCCCTCTGTATTGCGTCTTGGGGGGCGTTCGATTCGGAATTGCTTATTATATGTTCTTTTGCTCGCTGCACCCTGCTGCAGAGTTTCTTTGAACGCAGGGCCGCTCACTGATGGTGATGATAATGGTGATGATGATGCTGATGATGCTGATGATGATTATGATGATGCTGATGATGAATATTATGATGATGATGATGATGATGATGATGATGATGATGATGATGATGATGATGATGATGATGATGATGATGATGATGATGATGATGATGATGATTATGATTATGATGGTGGTGGTGGTGGTGATAGTGATGGTGGTGGTGATAATCATGATGAGCGAGGAAGACGAGGAGGTCGAGGAGGCGGAGGAATCCCTGACCCGCGCCGAGGTGTCTGATAGCGACGTGGACCCGACGGACCACCAGCCGCGGTCCATGCCCGCGGCGGGCTCCCACACGGTAGCTGGCCGCGCAGGTGCTGATGGCACCGCGCAGGCTGGGGCACCTGCTGGATGCCCCGACTTCGGGCGTATCGACCATGTCAAACCTGGCGTTTTCTGTATATTTCTGCCTCTGGGGGCCGATCCATGGCATCGGGTAGCCCCAGGACCATCCGAAATTTATCTGACTGCCCCCGAAGCAGTGGTCGGGAGCTCCGGAGCCGAAAACTGAAGAAGCATCGTTCCATCATATGTCAGTGGCTGCATGGAGATATCCCCCATCCGCCCCGCGTGCCGTCATGGAAGCCTGAAAGTCAGTCGGATCTCTGGAGGCTCGCCGTGATTGAACGTGCAGCGGCATCATCATTTTCGTCCTGGAGGCCCGCTCGAGTTTCTCGGGTCCAGCCCTAGGCTCCCCTGGCGGTGCCTCTGGCGCCGCCCGTGGCGCTCTCCTCGCGCCACGGGAGGGGGGGGAGGGCAGGCGCCTGCCTAAGCCGTCTGGGCGGGCGTCCAAAGTTTATGTTCACGCCGATGTCTCATCTCGTCCTTACAGATATTCTGGGAGGTCTGCAAGGCAGTTGAGGGTTCCGGGACTCGCGAGCAGAAGCGCACAGGAGGTCCACGGACCGCTCCGGCGGCAAACAAGGGCCGGGGTCCTCCTCCTTTCTTCCAGCGGGTGACAGCAAAGCACGACACTTCTGGAGGTCCGCGCGGATTTCCTCGACTCCTCCCCTCCCCCCTCCCCCCCTCCTCCTCCTCCCCCTCCCTCCTCCTCCTCCCTCCTCCTCCTCCTCCTCCTCCTCCCCCTCCCCTCCTCCTCCTCCTCCTCCTCCTCCTCCTCCTCCTCCTCCTCCTCCTCCTCCTCCTCCTCCTCCTCCTCCTCCTCCTCCTCCTCATCCTCCTCCTCCTCCTCCTCCTCCTCCCTCCCCTCCTCCTCCTACCTCCTCCTCCTCCTCCTCCTCCTCCTCCTCCTCCCCTCCCTCCTCCTTCCTCCTCCTCCCCCCCTCCCCCTCCCCCCCCCCTCCCTCCCTCCCCCCGTCTCCCCCCTCTCCCCCAGCCGCAGCTGGTTCGGGCCCCGCCCGGCGGGCGCCTTCCTCGGCACCTGGCCGCCACTGGCGCTGGGAGGCGCCCGGGAAACCAGCTTCGTAAGCTGATTGGATACCCCGCCCTTTGCTCCCGCCCCCTCCTCCTCGACACCCCTGGCGCGCCCTTTGCTCCCCCCTCCCCCCCCCGCCGCCCCTGGCGCGCTCCGCGCGCCAGAGAGGGGGAGAGCGTGCTACGCATGTAATGAAATCGGTGGCGAAACTATGAACTGATTGGCCGTGGTGAGGCGTCCATTGTGCCCACCTCGAAGACGGCCATGATGCGAGGCGAGTCCGGCCCTGAACCGTGTTCAAGAAGGTGTCGACGTCGAAGGCCTGTGATGACCTTCTTCCCCAAACGAGCCCTTCTGCTGGTCTCGAGTTGGGTGCGAGGTGCCCGTGAGGGCCCTTCTGTGCCCACGCCGCCCCGCTCACAGGGGCGAGGCTCGCAGGTCCGAGAGATCCGCGCGGAGCGCCAGAAGTTTACGTTTATGGCGTTTCTTTTGTTTCTCTCGCGTTTCCTACAATTCAACTTTCGGAGGTCCGCGCGCAGTTCCTGGGCCGTCGCGGGGCCCTCCTCCTCGACAGGCCTCGGCGGCGCCCCTGGAGCCCTCCCCTGGCGCGCTCGAGCGCACCCCGGGAGGGCGCGCCCGCCCCGCCCTACCGACGCGCCCCGTGGGGCTCCGCCCGCCCGGCCCGCCCGAGAGAGTCGCCGTCGTCGCCGTCGCCGTCGTCGTCGTCGTCGTCGTCGTCGTCGTCGCCGCCGTCGCCGTCGTCGTCGTCGTCGCC